ATCTTTACAATAAAAAGTAAAATTATACATATGACATTTGCAATAAAAGTCACTATAAATTTTTTTTATTTTGACTTGAATTGAAAGAGTTGCATTAAAAGGTTATCATTTTTAAAATTTGAGTTCATTTCAAAATGATATATATATATATATATATATATATATATATATATATATATATATATGGGGAGTTTATAGTGATAATAAAAAGGAGGAGATTGTTGAATCTCATATTTTAATACTGAAATCAATTGATGAGTTTATAGACTAATAAGCGTTTGAGATAAGTGACGTAGGAGAAATTTCAATCATGGACTTGAATTATCGAAAGACAAATCATTGAAGCATGAGAATCAAACATTAGGTTGGAAAGCATCATGTCAGAGATTAGGCATCATGATTGATCGACATGCTAAAGGATGAACTTCGTGCAATGAGTTTGAGAATCAGGCTAGAAGGATCGGGTATTATGCCAAGAAAATCGAATGCTGTAGGAGGTCAACATGCCAATAGATTAAGCAATATGCCGAAGGAAAAGATGATGCATCAAAGGTTAGGACGAAGTGCCGGATGAGCAGATGACATGTCGGACAACGTACTAAAGACTTTATGAGTGGTCAAGTCTTGATCGAAAGTGGCTTGGAGTCTAATTGAGTTGGTTTTGGGTCGTAACCATATTAACTTTATTAGAAGTCCATTGGGCCTAAACTAGGGGTGAATTTGGCCTATTAGGAGGCTAATTCAGTGACCTAGGGTTGGGCTGGGTGGTGGTATCACCCAAGTAGGCGGTGATACAACCCAAGCAGGTGGTGGTACCGCTTGAGAGTTGAAAAGCACATATTGTACTTTTCTAAAAATCCTGATGGTAGTACCACCCAAGTAGAAGGTGGTATCACCAAAGCCTAGGTTCCCAGGCTTTGTACGGTGGTAGTACAGTTGGGAAATCTTTGGGGGCGACATCACATGCACAGCGGAAGAATAAAAAATAAAATCTCTAATTTCCCAAAAATATGTTGGTCATTGTGCGAAGATTAGTGCGCAAAAATTTACGAAACTTAAAACTGCGTATAAGATAAATTGTGTTACCTAGGGAGATCGTATATCCCTGAATCCTTGCAGATCTCTAGGAGAGGGTGAAAGAGGTCAAGCGCCCTCTTCTCTAGCGGTGATCCACACAGTAGGGCTACGACAACGCTCCTCAAAATATCAAGCCTGCTTTGAGGTGGAGAGGGGGAGAAGAATAGGAGAGGCAAGCAAAGGCTCTAACCTATGAACTACTGAATCCCTCATATTTATAGAGGTCCCCTGTCAACTTAACCCTAATGGATCCTCCCCTATTGGGTATTGGATCTCCATCCAACTACCCAAGCCTCTTAGATTAGTGAATCTCTATCCAATAATCTTTTATGGGCTCTTATTGGATCTCATACATAGGATCCAATAATTCAGGGGCTTATTGGATATCCAATAAGATAGGAGCTCCGACGGATATCTCATATCCGAATCTCTACTCATCGTAATGCCTACCATATGTGTGTGATTCTCTAGGCCCAATATCGAGCTGGCCGTGAGTCATACATGTCAGAACTCCTTCTAGCTCAGTGAATTATTATCTCTATAATAATTCACTCGACTCATCGAATACGGACGTACTAAGCCATTACGCCTCAGTCCCTAGACGATATAGGGGAATCCAATCCATTGGACCTATGTGTCCTTAGTTACCATATACCTATAGTCCATCATTCATCTAATATCCTAAAGATCGTATACCGGGCATGGTGCTGTCAGACTCATACGGTTTCTACTCAAGTCTCGCTCTAATCGGATTCTCCTAAAGAACTCTTTCTCTCTCAATCCGAATGACCCTAGCTAGGGATTTGTTTGAGTAAGAATACATGGGATATTCCTCTCATGACACCGAGAGTGGTTGATCCTCTATCAATACTAAATATCTCTCGTAAGGTTGACTACCACTCCCGATGACCGACTGTACTAGATCTGGGACATCCAAACCTATAAGTCTGGTATCAAAGAGTGGAGCACTCATATAAGACATCCTTGGTGTCTTAAGTCGAAGGACCAGATACACCATTGGGACTACAAAATCGTTATCTGACAATAAGGCATCATCAACCATCCAGCATTCCGTAAGCGGATCAATCAATGAACTCATTCCCCAATGAGCACCTGTATTGTATCTCTAGTATCCCCATACGAGTATCTATGAGACCAGCTACATCCATCATATGAACGGGTATACAACACACCAGTCTGTCCGATTATCTCGATGTCCCTCGCGAGTAACCTATGACCGGAATTATGTAGGATCTGTGTTTAAGGCGAATCGGTCTCATTATCATGATCTTATCACGATCCGATTCTCATTGCACAGATCCAAGGACA